TTGATTTTATGATATTGCTTAATATATACTGTTTTCTATTTTGAGTTGGCCGATGATATCTACTCAGTACCCGTGTTTTATACTGACCCCTACTTTTATTGTTTTCTTCTTGTTTATTTGTGAGGCGCAGCAAACGTGCCGTCGTCTTCGACTCAACAGTAATTCAAGCCAGTCTTACTACATCGGAAATTCAGGGTGAGCTAATGCTTCTAGCTTGGACTGGATCTTCTTCAAGTCTCGATGCCTTGAACTTCCGGCATGGACTAGCTTCTTATGTATTTTTAGCTTCTTAGAATACTCTTAGTTTAGTAATTTGATTATAGATGTTCTTGTGATGATGACTTCCAGATTTTGGGGATAATAATAGTTATTGATTTTATTAATGAGTTTAAGTCTTCCGCATTACTTTATGTTGATAGTACATTGAAATGTTAAGGTTTAGATTTGGTTGGTTCGCTCACACAGGAGGGTAAGTGTGGGTGCCAGTCGCGGCCCGGATTTGGGTCGTGACAATCTCTCAAACAATTTTCAATTTTGTAATAGTCCCACATCGGTATTTCGTCTTTTTTGAGGATTTTTGGGTTTCTATATAAGCCCACTTTATTCACTATTTTTAGGGGAGGATTTGGAGGGAAAAAACAAAAGAATACTCATAAAATTTTGAGAATTCTTGGTTCCCATAATTCAAAAATTTTAAAGTGTTTTTGTGGTTTTTCGAGTTGAGGAGGTGGAGTCGTCTCTTTCAAACTCGGAGTTCCGGTTCGCTGTCCAGAACCAAGTAAATTTTTTCTTAGCCTTGTTTTATTTAATTCCTAGCTCTTTTATGTTTTCTGTTTATTATATGTAGCTTGTTTTTTTTTTTACTTTAATGTAGTTCTAAAAGTCAATTAATATTTGTGTTTATTATAGTTTTAATATTAGCATTATTTTATGATTCGATGTTTATTTATTTATTATTACTATTATTTTAAAATTGTTAGTCAACTATTTGCTATCTTAACTTTTCAGGGTTTTGTTATTATTCTACTTTAATATTATTTTTAATTTTTATATATATTATGTTATTGTTGTCTCCATTTCTAATTATGTTATTTTAGTTTGGTTGTTGTTTTCCATATTCTCTTGGGATAAGTTTGTTATGTTTTGTCGATGTTCAGTTTATATATTTTATATGTTAAATTGGGCCGATGAAGAAATAACCGTCGATTTCCAAGGCCTCCCATGTTAATAAGACGGATTTTTATTTTAGTTATTATTTGAGTTATTTATTTTTATTTATATTATTTTGACACTAACTCTTTTACTAAGTGTCTTTACAGGTACCCTGAGGTGCTTCTCCTTGAAATTATTCGAAAAGTTCGAATTGTATTTCATTCATTATTTTGTGAATATTGACGTTAGGCAAACTTTGGGCCGATAATTATTGTTTTATTGTGTATATTATGTGTTTATTATATGTGTTTATTTTATATCTTTCCTCAATTTGAAAAAAAATGAATTCAGTCGGGAACCACATTTGTGGATTCCAAAGGGTGCCTAACCCCTTCCCTTCGGAATAATTTAAACCCCTTACCTAGAATCGAACTGGTTTCGTAAATCATTTAATGGTTTCCTAGTTTTTTCCTAAAATTAGGTGGCGACTCTTTTTAAAACTCGTTTATTTTTGAAATTTTGTTAAAATTAAATCAATTAATAATTTTCTGAGTTGCCGTGACGTTTCGACCTATTCCGAAAGAGTAGGGATGTAAACAGTATGAGTAAAGGTGTAACACGTGGAGATCGTCCATGTTGAGATCGAGTTATGATTATTTGGGCACGTCGAGATCGTCCGTGCGATAGAAAAGTAATGATTATGATTTGGTACGTAAAGATCGTCCATACGAAATTTGTTTGATTTATGATAATGCATTGAGATCGTTCGCACAGACACGTGGAGATCGTCCGTGTCGGTTATGGACCTCGTGAGTCCCCCATGGGTCATGATCTCTTGATGTATTTCCGAGGAGTATCATGTATATACGGTTGAGAGAGTACCTGGTATTTGGAGGTATATCTTTGCATTGTATCACATGACATTCTTCATCCTTTATGATTACATATTTTATTGGTGATTGAAAAGTATTTGATATTTGGTTAACTCTATTTAATGAACTTGATCTTGTGTTTTATTGATATTGCGAGTGCCTTTTTGTGGAGGGTGTAATTGATGAATATTGAGCTTGTTGTTGAGTATATATGCTATGAAAACTGTGAACTGTTAGGTTGAACTGATTTTTATGCAGGTTGTAGTTGTGGAGGTTTGGTTGGTGTGTAAGGAGCACCCATATTTTATCCACTTAGCTTGTGTTTAGAAGTTTACTTGCTGGGTACCGTGTGGTTTGATACTCACCCCTTGCTACTACAATTTTTTTGTAGGTTACTAGCTCGGACCTTTGTGATATTTCTCTTCCCCTTGTTTGAGGCTTTTTGTGAAGAATTGTGAGGTAGCTGCTTGTTATCTCAGCAAATCTTCTAATTCTATTTATGATCTTGTTCAACTCGAGAAACAATATCATTTGAGACTTATTTTTTTTAAATCAATTGTAATTCTTTAGAGGCTTGTACACGTCACAACCAGATTTTGGGAATATTTTTTTTAGTAAATTATGAATTTTCCGCATTTTATTGTAATGGTAGAGTTTTAGATTGACTTGTCTTGGTGGGATAAGATAAGTGTCATCACATTTATTTTTGGACCGTGACACATAGAGTGTTTGATATTTTATCAAAGAGTTATCAAAATACTAAAATCAAATCAAAGCGTATAATTATGTATGTTATACATATGTGTTATTATAATACTTCCTATATTTCAAAATAATTAAATTGTTGGGTGTTTTATTTTCTTTAGAAAAAGAAGATTAAGAATATAAATTAGATATTATTTTTTATTTTTCTCTTGTTGATTCTTGTCAAATTGATCTTTATAATAATTTAAAAAACATCTAAAGTTTCTTGAACTTATCACATAAAATATCCAAATGTGGAGTAAAGAAAAAATATTTTTAAAAATAATGTTAAGATTAAATAATGAGAAAAGAGTCAAATATGCTCCTAAACTATTTGAAAAAGTCTAGATATATTTTCTGTTTAAAGTTTGGTTCACTCATGATCTCGCAATTAAACTTTTGATCCAAATATGCCCTTATGGGCGTTAGTTGTCATGGACATATCCAAGTCATTTTTTTTCATTTTTTAAAATGTCACATGTAATTGTCATGTCATTTTGACCTTACCACATGACATTTATATAAAAATAGAAAGATATTCAGACTCATAAACACCTAATCCGACCCATAAATAAACTCCCTTTAAATAAATTATCAGACTAATTTTCAATAATTTTGTTTAATTTTTATTTTTTTCAATAAATTTCGAAAATGAGTAATTAATTAATAAAAAATAGGAAGAATATGCAAAAAAATATAAAATTAACACCAAAAATTCATAAATAATTATAGTAACCTTAAATTCAATTTTAAACTTTTTTTAAAATTTTATTTTTTTGATAAATTTCGAAAATGAGTAATTGATTAATAAAAAATATGAAAAAAAATATAAAATTAACGCCAAAAATTTAAAAATAATACAATAACCTTAAATTCAACATTTTTTTAGTTTTTTATTTTTCGACAAATCCCAAAAATGATTTTATTAACAAAAAATATGAAAAATATAATTACACAAAAATATCGCAAATAAAAAATAGGAAAATATGAAAAAAATATATAAAATAAAAAAAATTGTTGAAATTATTGAATTTAAGGTTACTATATTTATTTGTAAATTTTGACGTAAATTTTTTATTATGTTTTCATATTTTTTCCTTTTTTATTAGTAAATCAATCATTTTCGAAATTTCTCGAAAAAAATATTTTTTTTAAAAAAAATTGTAGAATGAAATGTTACTATATTTATTTATGAACTTTTGACGTTATTTTATATTTTTCCATACTTTTCATATTTTTTATTTAATCTATTACTCATTTTCGAGATTTATCGAAAAATAAAAATTTTAAAAAAATATTGAAATGTTAGATTTAAGGTTACTATATTTATTTCTGAATTTTTGGCGTTAATTTTATATTTTTTTCATATTTTTCCTATTTTTAATTAATCAATTTCTCATTTATAGATTTACCAAAAACATAAAAATTAAACAAAATTGTTAAAAATCGGATAGTGAGTTTAAAAGGAGTTGATTTATAAGTCGGATTAGGTGTTTATGTATCTTTCCATTTTCATATAAATGTCATATGATAAGGTCAAAATGACATGACAATTTTGTGTGACTTTTAAATAGATAAAAAAAATGAGTTGGATATGTTTTACATGTCAACTAACGTCCATAAGGACATATTTGGATTAAAAGTTGGACAAAGAGGATATGAGTAAATCAAACTTTAAACGGAAGATATATCTAAACCTTTTCAAATAGTTTAAGGATATATTTAATCTTTTTCTCTTAATTAATTTAATTTAATTTAAAATATGAAAAATATCGAACAGTTTGAATTTATTTTAAAACAAAGGCAATACTAATCAAATATATAATTTAATACAAAATCTATTGGTTGGATTTGCCGGTCGGTGGGTCAGTAATTGCATTTGAATTAATCATACCAAGCCACTAGATTTGACCAAAAGCACAAGTCATCTTTGTTATTGTATTGCTCACTTCTAAAAAAAAATTAAGTTAATTAACCAAAAAATTAAATATTCACCATTCATTAGATAACGAGAATATATATATATATATATGCACCATTTGTTAAACGGATAGAGAATAAATATGATTTCTCTTTTAACAAGTGGCATGTCATTCTAAATGGCAAGATTAAAGAAATATATTTACTCTTTTTCCTCTTATTTTATTTCAAAGTGCCATGAATGTGAAAGCATAATTAGATTACTAAACCTAATAGTAAAAAAGCAAACATTATTCAGTTGGCAGATTGCTAACCCTATTTTTCCCTCTATAAAAGCATTTACCTCAAAGGGAGAAAAGAACCACACAAAAATTCCCTCAATTAGTAAAGCAAAAACATAGTTTACTAAAGTTGATAGATGGGAGATGTTAAGTTGCTTGGTCTATGGTATAGCCCTTTTAGTCATAGAGTTGAATGGGCTCTCAAGTTTAAGGGTGTCCAATATGAATTTATAGAACAAGATCTACAAAATAAGAGTCCAATACTTCTTGAATCCAATCCAATTTACAAGAAAGTACCTGTGCTAATTCATAATGGCAAGCCCATATGTGAGTCAATTGTCATTCTTGAATACATTGATGAGGTATTTGAAGGTCCTTCAATCTTGCCTAAAGACCCTTATAATCGAGCTTTAGCTCGATTTTGGGTAAAGTTTTTTGAAGACAAGGTATATTTTTTCTCATGGTACATAAGTCTATTAATTGGAAATACTTTTGAGTCACATAAGTGGAGACATTTAACTTTATTAGGTATTAACTCGTTTTAATTGTGTCAATTGGATAGTACTCCGACCTATAATACGATCATCTAGATACCTTTAATTATGTGTCAATGAGACACATTAGTGGGGATGAGTTGGAGTGTTTAACTGTTAGTTAAGAATAATTAATATGTTTGAATACATAATTTTCAAGATTAAAGTACTTGTTTATCAGCCGAGACTGAATTTGAATGTTTATTTTTGTATTATGCTCTATTATAGTGTTGAACTAAATGAAGAATTAGTCAACAACAACTAATGTACTTTTATTGTTATTGACTATTGTATATTCCTATTTTTGAAATTGAGTATACATTATTATTGTTATGTAGGGTCCATCAATGAGGAAAAGTATTCTTCTCAAAGGAGAGGAGCAAGAGAAAGCTAAAGAGGAAGTTTTTGAGATGTTGAGAATTCTTGATAATGAGCTCAAGGGTAAAAAGTTTTTTGTGGGTGACAAATTTGGATTTGTTGATATTGTTGCAAATGCTGGGGCACTTTGGCTTGGAGTTCTTGAAGAAGTATCTGGAGTTGTTTTGGTGACAAAAGAAAAATTTCCAAATTTTTGTGTTTGGAGAGATGAATATTGCACGCAGAACAAAGAATATTTACCTTCAAGAGATGAATTGCTTATCCGTTTCAAAACCTATATTTAGCCTGTTAATGCTTCAAAATGAGTACACCTCTAGTAAATTTCAAGATTTTGTGTGGCAATAAAAGTTAGACATGGATTTAGGGATTAGTTTTTGTTAATTCAATTGAAGGTTGATTTCGAATTGAACTAGTGGTATGTAAGAAAAAAAATATGCATGTTATAAGATTCCTCTTTAATTCATTTTAATTTTTGGATTCACTTATAAATAAAAATATTTGTTTGAGAAATCTCGCTAGAATTTCAAAATTAAAATGTAAGCGTCTAGACCCTATCCCAAATGCCAGCCTCAAGTTCTCACAAGATACTATGATGAAGTGTTAAGTTGTCCGTTAATATCAAGCTAAGGTGCGTGGATATGTATTCTCAAAATTGGATGATTTACTTGTCAGCTATGAGATTTACGTATTATCTCAATTAAAAAAATTCAATCTCAATCATAAAATAAATTTGAATCAGGTTGAGAAAGGTTTCAAATGGAGAAGATAAATTTATAAAAAAATAGTAAATTTAGTGTGTAAAGAGAAAAAGTAAATATGCACAATTTATTAGCTGAAGATGTATATAAAAACAATAGTATAACTTACCTAAATTTCATAGCATAAAACTTAAATAACATTTTATCCCTACTCTTTTTCAATTTACAAAAATCCCTTCAAAATCAGTGCTATTCAGATACATAGAAAATAATTCAGATTCATTAATTCCGATGATGAGGATATGTCCTTTCTAAATTTCAAGATTACAAAAATATCTATTTGTCCTTTTCCCCTTTATTTTAAATAGTCAAACAAGAAAGATTCATGCATTTGGTGAAACGCTAAGAAACTTCCCTCTATAAAAGAATACTAGACCTCAAGGAAGATCACAACCACATAAAAATAATTCCCTCAATAAGTAAAGCAAAAGACACAGTTAACCAAAGTTGAGAGATGGCAGATATTAAGTTGCTTGGTCTATGGTATAGCCCTTTTAGTAAAAGAGTTGAATGGGCTCTTAAGACTAAGGGTGTGGAATATGAATATATAGAAGATGATCTACAAAATAAGAGCCTTTTACTTCTTCAATCCAATCCAATTCACAAGAAAGTCCCTGTGCTCATTCACAATGGGAAGCCAATTTGTGAGTCAAGTGTGATTCTCGAATACATTGACGAGACATTTGAAGGCCCTTCCATCTTACCTAAAGACCCTTATGATCGAGCTTTAGCTCGTTTCTGGGCTAAATTCTTCGAAGATAAGGTATATCGACTCCTTAACTTGTCTCTACTCTGTTAATTGAATATTCTAACTTATAAATGATCAACTATACATCTCCAAAATTTATGTGGCATGTCATGAGGTGTCTACGAGACATGTTAAAGAGTTGGAGTGCTTAATTGTTAATTGAGACCAAATATTTAGATATGCACATTCAAAGTTAGAGTACTTATTATCGGATACAACCAAGTCAGAATGTCATTTTATATATATTATATGTCTTGTGTAAAATTGGACTAAAGTAATAAAATATCACATTGCCAACAATAACTTATTTGTGACTGACTAATGTACTTCTATTGTTGTAGATTTATATCTTTAAAATTTTGTTGAATTCAAGTTCCAATTGTTATGTAGTGGCCATCAATGATGAAAAGTCTATTTTTCAAAGGAGAGGAGCAAGAGAAAGGTAAAGAGGAAGTTAATGAGATGTTGAAAATTCTTGATAATGAGCTCAAGGACAAAAAGTTTTTTGTTGGTAACAACTTTGGATTTGTTGATGTTGTTGCAAATGCTGTAGCCCTTTGGTTTGGAGTTCTTGAAGAAGTAATTGGAGTTGTTTCGGTGACAAGTGAAAAATTCCCAAATTTTTGCGATTGGAGAGATGAATACTACATTCAAAACAAGGAATATTTACCGTCAAGAGATGAATTGTTTGCCCATTACCAAGCTTACATTCAACGTGTTGCTGCTTCAAAATGATTACTCCTCTATTGAATTTTAAGATTTCGTGTGGCAATAAAAAATAGTGATGTATTTTTTGTGAAATCAATGGTAATTGAAATATACACGTTAAAAAAGTGATAAAGTTTTTATCGGCATTAGTTAATTATTATTAGATCTACTATGACTTTAGACTTTAAGGACATTTATAAAGAATGTTAATTTATCATTAAAATATACATCTATAGCAGTAATTAAGTTATTGTCATTAACTAATTTCATTAAAGATCATTTTTTATATAGTGAGAGAAATTTTCCTCTCATAGAAACAACTCACGAATTTGAGTCTCACATTTAAAAGACAGAAAATCCGCAAGGATCTAAAAGAAGATTGTTGCTATCCAGCTATCTCGAAATTCAATGTACAATTAATAAGAATTCAAAACCTTTTGATTGTGGGGGCAAAAGTGAAAAGAACGCTTCACAAAAGAATCTTCTACAGCACGTTCTGTAACCTTAGTTCTACTCCAATTTTTGTGGTATATTTATGAATTTAAATATTTTTAACACTTAATTATTTTGTTTTATTTTTAAATCCAACTTGACTATTAACATTTTCTATTCAATTATTGTTTGGGTGGTTGGTCAGTAATTGTACAACAATTAATTAAATACACCACTAAGTTTCTCATGATTGACTTATGACTCATGGTATGAAAGCAATTTTATATTGGCCTTCTATGTTTCCAAGAGTAAACTTTAAGGAAAAGGGTAGATGTATCTTGAATTATAAGTAGATATTTTTTGTCATTTTTTAGAAATATTAGTATTTTTATCATTCAAAAATTAGAGTATGTGTACTATTTATATTAATGAAAATATACGTATCATAATTTTATTCATCGACTCATTATCGGATCGATGGATAATATTGCGCCACATGTCCCTATTTACACTTTTTCGTTAAAGTGAAGGGCATATCGCTCTAGTTTTTAGTCGGCAGGGACATCAATATTCCAAAAATATGACAGAAGGTATCTGCACAACATTTACAATGATTAAAGGATATATTTATTCTTTTTCCCTAAAATATATTACTTCCTCTCCTCTATTTTAATTCATTTATTTTTAAAAAATTATTATTTTTAATTCTAATTTGACATAATATTTTTTAAAAAAATTGAATCCTTGTGATTAAAATCGTCAAATAAGGCTTGATCTTTGAGGGCAATCCAACTCAAATTGTTAACTGGAATACCAGATAGAATAGAGTTAAAATTTTGCAAGGCAATTCAAAATTGGGGCTTATAAGCCCAACATCAGTCAGCTCGAGCCCTTGTGGCTTGAGTGACACTGGGTTGAGGCTCTCAGCCAAAAAGATATGTGGTTCAAATTTAGTAATTAAAATAAATTGCGATAAAAGAAGTAAAAACTAAATATATTGATTGTCGAATATATTTTAGTATCTTCCTCTCCTTTATTTTAATTATTTATTTAAAAAAAAAATTTTTAAATTTTTACTTGACATAATGTTATTTTTTAAAATTGTATCTTTGTGATTAAAATCGTCAAATAAAGCTTAATCTTTGAGGCCAACCCAACTCATATCATTAACCGGATAGAATTGAGTTCAAATTTTGCAAGGCAATTCAAAATTGGAGCTTAAAAGCCCAACATCAATCAACTCGCGACCCTTGAGGCTCCCGGCCAAAAAGATATGTGATTCAAATTTAAAAACTAAAATAAATTATAATAAAAGAATTGAAAAGTAAATATAATGATTGTCGAATACGTCTTAATATCTTATCTTAGGCAATACTTTATTCATTTAGCGTAAATCCTAATCTCCTCGTGAGCAAGTTGCATGTAATATTGCGTAAAGTAATTAGTAGTGTTGTCACGGCCCGATGACACCCACACTTACCCTCCTATGTGAGCGAACCAACCAATCTAAACCTTAACATTTCAATATAATATCAACAAAAGTAATGCGGAAGACTTAAACTCATTAATAAAAACCAATTCAATAACTTCTAAAAACTCAACAACTATTATTATCCCCAAAATCTGGAAGTCATCATCACAAGAACATCTACTTCAAATTACTAAACTAAGAGTATTCTAA